GCCCCTGGGCAGGGGGCAAGCGCGGCGGGCCGCGCGGGAAAGCCTCGGCCGGTCCTGGCGCGCACGCCGTCGATGATCTCGTTCGCCAGGGCATTGGCCACCGTCGCCTGCCGCTTCCCAGCCCGCGTAGTTTCCTCGAAGTCATCCTCGTCATGTCTCCCAGACAGCGCGTTGCAGGGTCTCCGCCCCCCTGCGCTCTCGCCAGGGTCCTCCACTCCTTCGCAAATGCAGCTCTCGTCTGAGATCTCCGTCTGGGGGCTGCGCTGCACGGCCGACGCCGCGCAAACCTGCTGCTTGAAAGCCGGCGCAGATCCAGTGCCATCGCCCGGCGGAGGTTTCCATCCAGCCCGGGGCATCACGTTGGCCGCGCGGTGGGGCCCCGTGGCCTGCCAGAGCTTCGTTGGCTGGATCCTCAATTCGCGGGAGCTTACCTCGTTCGTCTCGAAGCTCACGCCCATGCCGATCTCCCCGCGAGCATAACTGCCGACCAGCAAGCGCAACTTCTACTCGATCAGAATCAAGCAGCTGATCCCCACGTCGACGTCGAAGACGGACGCGCGTCTGGTCGACTTTCACGAAACGCAATCTTCCAACGTTCCCGAACCAGAACGCACGCAGCTGGGGTTCCTTCGCGGTGTCCTTCTCGAGGCCGTACTTATATTGCACAAGTTCTCGTACCTATCTGCCCGCGCATCGCCGCTGACCGCGGGCTCACAGACCGCGCCCGCGGCGCCCGCGACGCCTCCTCCGCCGGTGGACCCTGGGCGCAAGACTTCCGCTGCAACTGGGGCCGCACACTCGCGCAGCTGGCGCTCGATGGGCAAATCCATCCGCAAGAAGTAGGCCACGCGTCATCCTCGTCGATCCCCTCGATGAAGAGCGCCCCCTGCCAACCGAGCTTCATCTGCCGATCCTGCCACTCGTCCATCTGGGGCCAGTTGGAATCTCCAGTCCAGTGGCCTAGTCAACCACGCGCGTCGCATGGTCGTTCCTGCGTATAGTTCTGAGTATGCTTCGCTTTGTCGGCTGCGCTCTTGCCATTTCCGCGTGTTGCACGAGCGCCTGGTTCCAAAAGCTTTCGATCCCTTCTCAGTTCCTCCATGCGCTCCTTGCCCCCGCTCGCGTTAATGGATCCTTCCTTCATCGACCCCAGGCCGTTCTCGAGCATCGCAAGATCACTGGCCAGCTTAGGTTCACATTCTCCACCAATCAGCAAGGCAACCAAACCAGGGCCGCCATCTCGTCGGTCAAACGCTGCTCGAGATCGTTTCCTTCGGCCTCGTCGAGAGTAGTGCCCAAGGCTTCATTATGGGCGCCGCCGTCCGTATCACTGCCCATGTCGGCCGCCAGCGCCTCGAGCTCGTTATCCGACAAGCTGCCCAGCTCGTCCAAGCCCTCCGCGACATTGGCCTCACTGAACTTGCACAATATCCGCTTCTTGCTGTTGTCCTTTCCGGGTGCATCCCCCCGCGTGGGGGTCGGTTGGTTGACTGGTAACTGTCCGACCTCTCACCGTCATGTGTATGTGTGGGAAGATCCTGATCAGAACCGGCGCAGCAATCGCCTGTGTAAGATCTCCCCCATTCGCGGTCGTCAGCAACCTTGTCTGGTACTCGGTGAGTCCTGTCTTCTTTCTGCCTGTGAGCCACCACGCGGCAGTTCCAGCTGGTTGTCCACCCTCTTCCTCGTCGAGCTGAGCCTTGGCTTCAACGAAACGGGTTATCCACGCATCCATCTCGTCTCCTGGGCGCCTCTCCAGGATTTTGTAGAGGCAGGTCATCACCGACACCTCCAGAAAGTCCTTAATTCATTTCGTCAGATCTGGGTTGGTCCATTCGTCACTGTCCTCGTCGTATTCCCATTGGCCGGCACGCCAGGTCTTTCATCGCAGTGCTCTTAGTCAGCGTCTTTGACAGGCCTGCAAGGCACCCCGCCACTCTCGCAGCCCATGCTAAATTTACGTGCAGGTGGATACCTTCCAACCACAGGGCCACGTCCGCCTTGACTCACCTCCACCTCGTAAGAGTTCCGTCCTACGTCGGGATCCCCTCCAGATCCTTACCGGAAAAAACATGAGCATGGCCGTGGTGTCCCTGGTTATTTCATCCCCCGCGGACCGGCAAGGTTGAAGGAACAAAAACGCCCAAACCATGTGAACCTATCATCGGTCTCCTGTCGGGTGTACGTGCGCGTTGGCCGCCACCCCCTTGTCTGGTGGTTACCCTCTCGTCGTAAGTGTGCTCGAACACATTCTAGTCGTAAGTGACGTAAGGTTACTGCTCTTTGTCGCAGTCGGGAACACAATGTCGTGTTGCAGCTCCTCGTTGTCGTTGTTTTCGAAGATCTTCTCGCTGATGCGCGCGGCGGCGCCGTGGAGCGATCAGCTCCGTTACCAATGCGGAAGCGGGGTTGCTCTTCTCCCCCCTTGCCCGCGCAACGGCGGAGTGGCTTCAATCACTATCGCAATGGAAAGAATATGTTCCGGCCAATCGCTACCATATGCAATTCAGCCTCAAGCCGACTTCACATCAAACTGCAGCGGCACAAGGAAAGCACTATGGGAACAAAAGCAGTATGGGAGCAACAAGGGGCCAAAACAGAGCTGAATTCCGCACGTGCTCTCACAAAGGCAGCAAGGCTTCTCACAAGCCTCGGGCATTCTGAGAAGCCCTCTGTGGCTTCGCAGGGGGCTTAGAAAGCTTCTCTGAAGGACACAGTCCGTCTCAGCCTTCTGAGAAGGCCCACCCCTTCTGCCTTCCCACGCTTCATGAGAAAGCCGCGTTGGATCAGGGCCGCCTATCACACGGCCGCCTCCGCGTCCACGCGAACTCTGTCCTCCAGAAGCTGCCAGCAGAACGTTCGCGGTGCTCACGGTCGCGCGGCAGCGGCCCGGCAGGACGGTGCCAAGGCTTCACCAGGAGATCCGCACGCCCACATCAAACACTCCAGGCATGCCCGTGCTCATACTGGGGGGGGGGGGGGGAACAAAGCAATACAGAGGGCGCATGCGAGAAGAAATCTTGCTACAAGAAATCTGGGAGCACAGCTCTCAGTCGATGTTGGACTTCGCGGGAAGCCAATCACCTCCTGTGAGCGTCTGGGGTCGTCAGGGAAAAAGAAATCTCCGCGGGGCGCCAGCCATCAGGCCATCTGATTTGGCGCGCCCGCGGTATCAATGACCACCGCCGTGGAAAGCCCATCAGCGTATTAGAGTTGAAGCACCTGCGGACATAATGCAGGAGCAACATGCTGACGGGCTTCCAACGGCGGCATGTCATATCCGTCCCGAGTGCTGGGATGGCCGTGGGAATTGCTTAGGGAACAGGGTTTTAAGAGCACGCTGAAGTGGATTGCATCTGGACAAATTTAATCTAAAGGTGGTCGCGAAGAGTCTAGTAGGCTCATAGGGGGGATAGATAACTCCGCAAGGTGGGTGGAGCCAACTTAGCCTGGATGGCCGACACGCCTTAGCCACCTGGCGAATTGTAAAACCACTTAGAAGCTAGATCCGGTCAGATATAGCACACAATGGCATCCACTGATGACCCCCCGTCTTCGCTCAGCAACCCCCGCGGTAATCCCGGTCAGTGCCACTCGCCCCATTCCACCCCCTCCAGAACTGCAGGGAGGGGGAGGCGGGGGAAGAGGGAGCAAACTGCGCAGTCATGGCACTTATTCTTATCCCACTTCCTCTGGCTGCCCTGGAGCCCGCGCTGGCAGCAGCCCTGGTTCGTATTCGCGCTTCGCTAAGATTTTTGCCGCTGGAAGAACGAAACAGCCTCCATGCATAGATGAATGGCCAGCATAAGGAGGGGGGCAAAAGGATGCACGGGTTTGGGCCCGGGCCGTCTGTCTGCAAGCCAGGCATCCGCCGCTCCCGCCCCGCGCGTCCCAGGCCGGGCCCCTGGCCCCCGGGCGACAAACATACCCCACGAAGCGGAGAGGAGAGGGAGGAGAAAGCCGCCCAGTGGAGAGGGAGGCACTCGGAGCAGAGAGAACCACGGCCTCGGAGGCCAGCGGGATGGCAAGAAACATAATTCCTGTCACTGCCACTGCTGCTCTCACTGTCGCCGCTCCCGCTCCAGCAATTCCGGGTGGGATCGCGGCCGGGGCTTGCGGGATCTCCAGGCTGTGGTCCGGCGGTGTTCGTATGGTTGGCGCTCACGCCTGCAGGTCGTAGACTGCCCGTGCCCGGGAGGTGGAGCGATGGCGTGCGACGGACGCGGCCCTCTATCCGACCTGCGCCTGCATCGCTGGCACGAGACGGATACCATTGCGCGTCTGGACGCAAGCGGACGATTTGGCAGAGGAAGGGGAGGAGTCCTGTGGCCCCAATACAAAGTGATGGTGATGCCTCCCGTCAATGCGAAGCAGAGAACTGGTGGCAAGCCGCGGCAAGATTCCTGCCGCATGGTTCTTGAGGGCACCCATCATCCCAGCCTCTTCAATAATTGGCACGACGGCAGGTGACCGTAGGCTGACCGTGTGCGACGCATTTGGAGAGTGAACAATGGAACATGTCCTTCACATGTCTGTGAATCCGTTCCGACCGTACGCGATCTTAGAGTCCGCCTGGCAATGCCCGAGCTGTGGCCAGATAGACCCCTGGACTGGGCACGGTGTAGAGATGAATTCGCAGGATTGGTATCAGAAATGGGGGGGATACGTAATTGTCGCTCTGTCCATGTTCTCGCCGAGCACCCTTACAGCTCACCGTGTGCCCTCCGCCCCCGGGGAGAGCAATGGAAGAAAACCTGCCCGTTGGGCACAGGCCACAAAACCGCTTCCATGTCTCGATGATCCCTGGAACGTGTGTGGGCTCCAACGCGTGCTTGCCAACCGAAGCCCTACAATACGGCGCAGGCGATGTAAGAAGGGCCAGCGCAGAACACGTGCTTTCGGTGGAGAGCTGCGTGGGGGACAGACACGTTGGGCTCACACATATCCTGAGGATCGTCGGATGTTGCATGCGCCTACGATGCAGCAGCCAAGCGCCAGGCGCTGGCGGTGGCCTGCGCTGGCCGGGCCGCTGCCGCCTTCGGGACGTAGGGCCGAGCCACCGCTGGTGCCGCTGCCACCTCCGCCACGCGCAGGGGCAGGCACGGCTGCAGAGGGCGGGGCAGGTCGGGGAGCAGAGAGCAGGAGCTGGCGCGACGGCGGATGCAGCCAGGTAGTGCTGCTGAGCGCGTCGCCGCGGCGGCCCCAGGGGTGTCGGCGACGACGTCGGGATGGCGTGGTGTAGACTTGTTTCCCCGTTTTCCCGTGGAAGCCGAATCCTGTACACGCCAGGATCCCGTGTATATATATATATATATATATACACCAGGATCCGCTCTCCTGTGCGAGGCAACGCGCTATGCCCCGCGGCAGGATAGCGCGTCGTTCCGCTCCGCGGGACGGGAGGCTGGGAGAAGCTCGGGGCGTTGACGCCTGGGGACCGGGCCGTGGATAGCGTGTCGCGGCCGAGGGTGGTGGGCCAGAACCAGCGGAGCGACACGCTGAGCCAAAGTTCCTGGCCGCAGGGGGCGGCAGCGGTGGCAGGGGCGACAAAGAGTGAGAGGGGCGGGCAAAGAAGGTTACAACCATCGCGTTGCCAAGAAGAAGCGCTGAAGCAGGAACGACAAGGCTTTTCTGGCCACGCCGAGCCTCGGTCCCGAATTGTGAAATCTGCCCTAGAACTAAGGAACGGCCCGAAAATCAGAGGCCCTCCTGAATCCACTTTGGTCCTTGACTGAGCGGACGATGCAGACACGGATGGGACGCCACCTCTTGGTCGGGCAGCGGAGGCAGGGGCGGCAGCGGGGGCAGGTCGAAGCCCTCGGACGCCGACTTGGCAACAGCTGCTGGCGCGTCGCTGGCTGATGGCAGGGGCGCCGCCTTCGCGGTCGGCAGCGGCGCCGCCTTGGCCACCGGCAGCGGCGGCAGCGGCGGCGGCGGGGGTGCGCCGAGGCTCTGAGGCGCCGCCTTCGCTGTCGGCAGGGGCGCTGCCTTCGCACTAGGCAGAGGCGCCGCCTTCGCGGTCGGCAGCGGCGCCGCCTTGGCTACGGGCAGCGGCGGCAGCGGCGGCGGCGGGGGTGCGCCGAGGCTCTGAGGCGCCGCCTTCGCTGTCGGAAGGGGCGCCGCCTTCGCACTCGGCAGGGGCGCCGCCTTCGCGGTCGGCAACGGCGCTGCCTTGGCCACCGGGACTGGCGGCAGCGGCGGCGGCGGGGGTGCGCCGAGGCTCTGAGGCGCCGCCTTCGCTGTCGGCAGGGGCGCCGCCTTCGCACTAGGCAGAGGCGCCGCCTTCGCGGTCGGCAACGGCGCCGCTGCCGCCTTCGCACTCGGCAGAGGCGCCGCCTTCGCGGTCGGCAGCGGCGCTGCCTTGGCCACCGGCAGCGGCGGCAGCGGCGGCGACGGGGGTGCGCCGAGGCTCTGAGGCGCCGCCTTCGCTGTCGGCAGGGGCGCTGCCTTCGCACTCGGCAGAGGCGCCGCCTTCGCGGTCGGCAGCGGCGCTGCCTTGGCCACCGGCAGCGGCGGCAGCGGCGGCGGCGGGGGTGCGCCGAGGCTCTGAGGCGCCGCCTTCGCTGTCGGCAGGGGCGCTGCCTTCGCACTAGGCAGAGGCGCCGCCTTCGCGGTCGGCAGCGGCGCCGCCTTGGCTACCGGCAGCGGCGGCAGCGGCGGCGGCGGGGGTGCGCCGAGGCTCTGAGGCGCCGCCTTCGCTGTCGGCAGGGGCGCCGCCTTCGCACTCGGCAGGGGCGCCGCCTTCGCGGTCGGCAACGGCGCTGCCTTGGCCACCGGGACTGGCGGCAGCGGCGGCGGCGTGGGTGCGCCGAGGCTCTGAGGCGCCGCCTTCGCTGTCGGCAGGGGCGACGCCTTCGCACTAGGCAGAGGCGCCGCCTTCGCGGTCGGCAACGGCGCCGCTGCCGCCTTCGCACTCGGCAGAGGCGCCGCCTTCGCGGTCGGCAGCGGCGCTGCCTTGGCCACCGGCAGCGGCGGCAGCGGCGGCGGCGGGGGTGCGCCGAGGCTCTGAGGCGCCGCCTTGTCGGCTGCCTTCGCACTCGGCAGAGGCGCCGCCTTCGCAGCGGCGCTGCCTTGGCGGCAGCTCTGAGGCGCCGCCTTCGCTGTCGGCAGGGGCGCCTTCGCACTCGCAGAGGCGCCGCCTTCGCGGTCGGCAGCGGCGCTGCCTTGGCCACCGGCAGCGGCGGCGCGGCGGCGGCGGGGGTGCGCCGAGGCTCTGAGGCGCCGCCTTCGCTGTCGGCAGGGGCGCTGCCTTCGCACTCGGCAGAGGCGCCGCCTTCGCGGTCGGCAGCGGCGCTGCCTTGGCCACCGGCAGCGGCGGCGGCGGGGGTGCGCCGAGGCTCTGAGGCGCCGCCTTCGCTGTCGGCAGGGGCGCTGCCTTCGCACTCGGCAGAGGCGCCGCCTTCGCGGTCGGCAGCGGCGCTGCCTTGGCCACCGGCAGCGGCGGCAGCGGCGGCGGCGGGGGTGCGCCGAGGCTCTGAGGCGCCGCCTTCGCTGTCGGCAGGGGCGCTGCCTTCGCACTCGGCAGAGGCGCCGCCTTCGCGGTCGGCAGCGGCGCCGCCTTGGCCACCGGCAGCGGCGGCAGCGGCGGCGGCTCTGCGTTTGCACTCGGCAGGGGCGCCGCTTTCGCCGCAGGCGCCGAATTAGCAGCGGGCAGCGGTGGCAGCGGCGCTGCCTTTGCACTCGGCAAAGGCGCAGCCCTCGCCGCTGGCAGGGGTGGCAGCGGAGAGGGTGAGGGCGGCCTAAGCTCATTCGCGCTGGCTGGTAGCGCCGGTGGCGGCTGGGGCGGGTCCTGGACCTGCGCATGGGGTGCGACTGAGTAGGGTTTTGCCTCGTCACGGCCAACGCCTCTCGTCTCATATCATGTGAGCCTCGCGACCAACGAACGACCAGACCGATCCAACGGCCGATTGCACCCGTGGTGGCGTGGTCTGAGCACACCAAAGGCCACTGCACCATCATGATACGACAGCGATTATGCTGGTCAAGACATGGTCACAAGATCAGGTCGAACCGATCGCACAATGAGGCCGAGTCGGTTTCGCCAGCAACGGTCGCTGCGCCGCTTTCCCTGAGAGCGACGATATCCGATCACCGATCCCATCGCTCTCTCTTCTCCTGATGGCCCTGTACCTCACTGGCTCCTCCTCGAAGCTTGCAAAAACCATTCGCCTCCCTTTCGTTGCCCGCCTCCTCCTCCTTCTCCTCCTCCTCCTCCTCCTCCTCTTCCCCCCATCCACATCATCCTGTTTTCCCTCGTCCTCCACTTCCACCTATCATCAGGATACTCGCCAAAGACGCCACAAGGTCAAGATCAGAGAGAAGCTCGTCGCAAGAAAGGTCAACCGAAGAATGCAAGAGAGACGCGCCCCTGCTCTGGCTACTCGATGCGCTTACCTGCCCTCAGGATTGTCCAGTGCCATCTGCACTGATATGCTCGGCAAGTCGCCTGGGAAACCCCAACTCCTGAGGCTGAATCCTGCACCTCCGAGCGCGAGGACACCCATCACTGTGAACGCAAGCGCAGTGGGCTGCCTCGTGAGAAACTGACGCCAAGTGCGTAGCTTACACCCTATAGCACGACCCGTCGCGACCACTCACGTCCTCGCCCTCGCCCTTGCCCTCCTCACAACCTTCGGCGTCGTCGTCGTCGCCCTCGTTCTCGTCCTCGTCCTCGTCCTCGTCGTCGTCGTTGTCGTCATCGTCGTCGTTGTCGTCGTAGTCGTCCTCCTCCTCGTCGTTGTCGCTGTCGTCCACCTTCTCTTTCTCCTCCCTGGCCAGCTCTACCATGGTGGATTTCCCCTTCACATCGGCAGTGAAGCTGGCAACTTCCCTGACATCCGCCGACGTGGCCTCCTCGGGATAGCTTTTCGCCCTGGGCCCGTCTTTGATCGCCCGGGGGCCCGAACATGACCCCCGAGGGCCGAAAATGAAAACCAGCGGCCGAAAAACCCTTCCGTCGGAACTCTTGAAATGGGTTCGACGTCCATGCCACGTCGTTTGGCCCACAAAGGGCGAAGGAGTTCGGCGAAGTGGCTCGGTGCATATGCGCTGCAGCTTCCCGCAGCTTGGGAAGCTGAGGCATCCAGACACCGAACTCCGTGGCCGACCAGAATACTCGGCGTATACCTCGAGCCGCGACGGGGTCAGATCTCAACGGGACGGGTCACTTCCCATCAGACTGGGTCAAATCCCGACGGGTCAGAGAACCGGGAACGGTTCAGATATCAACGGGCGGAACAAGCTCCGTTTTAAAGTGTGTGCAGCATGATCACCTTGGCAATGGAAGCCGAATGGTATCCCTTAGATGAACTCACTCGGTTTTCATGGTGCGCGGTTGGAATCTCTACCGCTCCACTGCCCTATGATATCGGAGTTCTAAATGCTCCAAGGCGGCCCCATATAGGCGCAAGGCACTCAAGACGTCCCCAAGACGGCTCCAAGAGGCCTTCTGGGAGGGCCCCAAGAAACCAAAATCAGGAACATCCCTATGGGTTGCTCCCGACGGCCCCCCCTGGGGTCTTCAAGATGGCACGCGTTGCAGCCCAAGAGGCCCCTCAACAGGACCCCAAGACGGACCAAGAGGGGCCCAAGACTGCCGAAGAGCCCCCCAATATGGCCCAAGGGATTTCCAAGATGGCCCCACAGCGCCCCAAGAAGACCCAGAGAGGCCTCTAAAACTACTTTGGGAGGCCTCAGACGGGCCAAGAACGGCCTAAGACAGCCCATGCGGCCCTCGAAGGCCCCCAAAGACCCGACCAGAGATCCCCAAGGGGTTCCCACGAGGCCCCCCAAAGGCTCCCGGGCGGCTCCCAAGAGGCCCCAAGACGCCCCAAATGTTCCCACAAAGGTTTCCGCAGTAGCTGGGGGAACACATCGCCCAACAATTTGGCAGGACTCCGGCCCAATCTTTGACCACAGAGTCGTTTCCAACACGCACGGGGCGGCGGTGGTTCGCCGTAGGCGCAGTGGATATGATTCATCTTCAGCACCACCATTGATTCTAATCAGCATTACCATGACAATCCACCATTATAGTCAGTATCATCATGACAATCATCAAACTGATCATCAACAACAACACCATCCGAATCACCATCACTATACTCACCCTACCTCCTCCTCATCCTCCTTCTCATCCTCTACTATGCCCTCCACATCGTCGTCATCACCATATGCCGGATCATCCTTATCATCATCACCATCACCAACAACATCATCACCGTCAATATCATTTGCACCATTCGCATCTGAGCCGTGACCATCATTCTCACAATTTCTTGGCATCTAGCATCATCAGATTCCCCATCGTCATGCCCCACACTCGCCCTACTCCTCCTCATCACCATCCTCACCATCATCACGATCACCACGTCATGTTCATCGACAAAGAATCCACAAAAGGAATCCTACGGAATTCTGAGCCCTCCAGGGTCCTCAGAAATCCCTGGGGATCTTCAGGAATTCGTCAAGGATCCTGCAGGAATCCTTCAGGGATTCCAGAGAATCCTCGGGAATCTTTTAGGAATCCTTCCAGAATCCTTCCTCGGAGTCCTTGGGGGACCATCAGGAACCCATCGGAATCCGGAGGATTTCTTAGAAATCGCTTGGAATCCTCAGGAACCCAGGGTACCCCCAGGCATTTTCACGAATCTAGAGGAATCCTCTGGAATCCACAGGAGCCCTTAAGAATCCTCAGGAGCAGCAGCCCACAAGAATCCGGAGGATTCGTCAGGATTCCGCAGGAAACTCACGGAATCCTGAAGGAATCCTTCAGAAATCCCCAGGGATCCTTCCGGAATCCTTAGAACAATCAAGAATCCTTCAGGGATCTTCCAAGAATTCTTCAGGAATCCGGGGGAATCCAGCACGAAGCCAAGGGGGCGCTCAGGAGGCGCTCTCAATGAGGCGCCTACAAATCATTACAAGTCGCTTGAAAGCTTGAATGATTTTCGTTGGTTTTCATTCCCGTTGGGATCTGACTCAGTCTGTTGGGATCTAACCGGTCGCGTTAGGATATGACACCTTATGATCTTATCTGGGATACCTCTCGCCAGGTAAGGATTCGGGATGCGGCCAGAACAAAAAACCCAAGGCAGTCCTTGCTGGCCTCAACAGGGCCCCCGAGTAGTCTGAGTCTGGGGCGGTCTCAACACCTCAACCCCGTGGCGCGGAGGGCACCAAGTGCGCCGACGGAATCGGAGCCGGGGTGTTGAGACGATTCACCTTTGTTTCACTCGAATTTCACATTTCGCTCGTTTAATTTCGCTCGTTTAATTTGGCTCGGTTTAAATTCGCTCGGGTTTACATTCGCTCGGTGTAAATTCGCTCGGGTTTAAATTCGCTCGGGATAAAATACGCTCGGTGTAAAGTCGCTCGTTCTTGTTCGCTCGTTAAATGTCGCTCGGTTCTATCGCTCGTTTAATTCTGCTCGGATATAATGTTGCTCGTTTTTTTTCGCTCGGTCGATTCCTGGTTACCGCCGGGAGCGCCGCCTCCGGCCAGACAGACCACAAATCCACAAGTCGCTCGGAGAGTCGAAGAAACTCGCTCGAACTTACATTCGCTCGGATTTAATTTCGCTCGGATGGAGCTTGCTCGGTCGATGCCCGGTCGCCGCCTGGAGGCACCTCTGTGTCGCTGTTGTGTAATTTCGCTTGGTGTGTTTCGCTTGTTTAATGTCGCTCGGTTTGAAGTCACGCGGGTGTAAACTCGCTCGGGCGAAAACTCGCTCGACTTAAATTTGCTCGAGTTTGGATTTGCTCGTTGGTTTCGCTCGTTTCATTTCGTTCGTTTTTGTTTCGCTCGTTTAATTTCGCTCGATTTGAAGTCATGCGGGTGCGAACTCGCTCGGGTGTAAACTCGCTCGATCTCAATTCGCTCGGGTTTAAATGCTTGTCCTCACGTGCCCAAGTCTTGAGGAAGCCTCGAGCGAGACGCTTGGTTTCACGCCTCCAGTTGCCCAGGCAGATGTCTAGCATCAGGATGTGTTCAGGATGCCTCGAGCGAGACGCTTGTTTGCACGCGTCCAGGTCGTCCAAGCAGATGTCTAGCATGAGGATGTGCTGAGGATATATCGAGACAAACGCTTGTTTTCACGTGTCCGGGTCGCCCAGGCGGATGGCTACCATGAAGATGTGTTGAGGATGTCTCGAGCGAGGTGTTTGCTTTCACGTGTCCAGGTCGCTCAGGCGGATGTCTAGCATGAGGAGGGGATGAGAAAGTCTCGAGCGAAACGCTTGTTTTTACGTGCCCAGGTCACCCTGGCGGGCGTCTAACATGAAGATGTGTTGAGGATGCCTCGAGCGAACCACTTGTTTTCACGTGTCCAGTTCGCCCAGGCGGATGTCTAGCGGATGTCTAAGAGCCTAGCATGAAGATGTGTAGAGGATGCGTTGAGCGAAACGCTTGTTTTCACGTGGCCAGGCCGACCAGGCGGATGTCTAGCATGAGGATTTGGGCAGAATGTCTCGAACGAAACGCTCGTCCCCCGCACGTTTCGTAGCGCACCCCCTTTGCACGTCCCGCGGTGCGTCCCCATGGCACGTCCCCTGGCACTTCGCCTGGCGCGTCCCTTGGAACGTTCCGCAGCACGTCCGCCTGGCATGTCCCCTGTCAATTAGCTCTGGGGCAGCTACTATGTGCCCAGGCAGCTCGAGCTTAAGATCCACATTAGTTCGGTCAGGACTCGGATGCAAAGGGGGATTCGAACCACAACGCTGTAGAGCAGAATCGCGGCATGGCACATCGCATTTCAGCACGGCGCAGCACAGCACAGCCCTCGGCACGGTACATCAA